TGTAACTCAGTTTGAAACTATCTTGATGTCCTCTGTTACTCAGTTTAAAACTATCTTGATGTCCTCTGTTACTCAGTTTAAAACTATCTTGACATCCTCTGTAACTCAGTTTGAAACTATCTTGATGTCCTCTGTTACTCAGTTTAAAACTATCTTGATGTCCTCTGTGACTCAGTTTAAAACTATCTTGATGTTCTCTGTTACTCAGTTTAAAACTATCTTGATGTCCTCTGTTAAAACTATCTTGATGTCCTCTGTAACTCAGTTTAAAACTATCTTGATGTCCTCTGTTACTCAGTTTAAAACTATCTTGATGTTCTCTGTTAAAACTATCTTGATGTCCTCTGTTAATCAGTATAAAACTATCTTGATGTTCTCTGTTACTCAGTTTAAAACTATCTTGATGTTCTCTGTTAAAACTATCTTGATGTCCTCTGTTAATCAGTATAAAACTATCTTGATGTCCTCTGTAACTCAGTTTAAAACTATCTTGATGTTCTCTGTTAAAACTATCTTGATGTCCTCTGTTACTCAGTTTAAACCTATCTTGATGTCCTATGTTTAATGCTGCTACAGAAATAAACTACATTATAATAAATGGAAGATAAAAAAAGGAAAGTTCAACATGCTAGAACGAATTACTATTCTATTAAACACTATCACAAATATCCACGGTACTGTTTATCTTAAGAGAAGCATGTCCGACAGTGACTGGCTATTGGCATTACTTGGATACATAACAGGAACCCTTTTTGTTCATGCATGTATTTCAGCTCTTCGGCATTTTATTGATTTATTACACTTGCTTAGTGATTTATCTTATAGACATCTTTAGTGAACACTGTGCCACTTTATTAACACACACAATCAGTTCTACAAATGACAAAAAATTACCTTAACCAAAACATCAAGAACACATGCCATAAACAACATATTAAAACCTACCTCCTGTGTGGCTAATATAACACAAAGTTCACTGTTTAAAGTGCATCAGATCTATCAAAACCTACCTCCTGTGTGGCTAATATAATACAAAGTTCACTGTTTAAAGTGTATCAGATCTATCAAAACCTACCTCCTGTGTGGCTAATATAACACAAAGTTCACTGTTTGAATGTATCAGATGTATCAAAACCTACCTCCTGTGTGGCTAATATAACACAAAGTTCACTGTTTAAAGTGCATCAGATCTATCAAAACCTACCTCCTGTGTGGTTAATATAATACAATGTTCACTGTTTAAAGTGCATCAGATCTATCAAACCTACCTACTGTGTGGCTAATATAACACAAAGTTCACTGTTTAAAGTGCATCAGATCTATCAAAACCGACCTCCTGTGTGGCTAATATAATACAAAGTTCACTGTTTAAAGTGTATCAGATCTATCAAATCCTACCTCCTGTGTGGCTAATATAACACAAAGTTCACTGTTTGAATGTATCAGATGTATCAAAACCTACCTCCTGTGTGGCTAATATAATACAAAGTTCACTGTTTAAAGTGTATCAAATGCATCAAACTCACCATCTGTGTGGCTAATATAACACAAAGTTCACTGTTTAAATGTATCAAATGCATCAAACTCACCATCTGTGTGGCTAATATAACACAAAGTTCACTGTTTAAATGTATCAAATGCATCAAACTCACCATCTGTGTGGCTAATATAACACAAAGTTCACTGTTTAAAGTGTATCAAATGCATCAAACTCACCATCTGTGTGGCTAATATAACACAAAGTTCACTGTTTAAAGTGTATCAAATGCATCAAACTCACCATCTGTGTGGCTAATATAACACAAAGTTCACTGTTTAAAGTGTATGAAATGCATCAAACTCACCATCTGTGTGGCCACACAATATGAAGTTTTCTGCATCTAACAGTTTGCAGGCCAGAACTTGTAATTACTGGTGTGTTAACACAAAGGTCTACATCTTTTGTTGTGTTAGAGAAAAGGTCCTCATTGTTTGGTGTGTTGGAGCAAACATCCACATTTACTGGTGTGTTAACACAAGGGTCTACATCTTTTGTTGTGTTAGAGAAAAGGTCCTCATTGTTTGTTTTATTGGAGAAAAGATCCACATTTACTGGTGTGCTAACACGAAGGTCCATATTATTTGTTGTATTGGATAAAAGGTCCTCATTTACTGGTGTGCTAACACAAAGGTCCATATTATTTGTTGTATTGGATAAAAGGTCCTCATTTACTGGTGTGTTAACACAAAGGTCCTCAATCACAGTTTTAACCATGTCTACATTTTGTTTCTTGGAAAAACATTCTTTTCTTTCTGAATAAAGTTCAAAGTTAAGATTTTCTTCCAATGGACAGACAGTACCTGTGTCAATTATTTCACAGTCATTAAAATATTTCGAATTCATAGATTTGTGTTCTTTACAAACAGATGTAGATCTTTCAATACCATTGAGCATATCAGCATTTATTAGAGGAAAGTAAATTACTCGACATTTGCACTTTAGTTCTTCAGGTATCCCTTTAGGTCGGTAATCAGGCATTTTCTTGAAGAACGAAGAGATGGTAGTTAGGAATGAGTCTTGGTTGAATTTAGAATTAAAAACAACAGTGTCTGCCACAAGACTGCAAGAAACATAGCATAAATGTTTTAAGTTAGCAGGTTTAAATATAGCCATTTCCATCAAATAATTATTTAAATAATCTTTAAAGAAATAATTAGACATTCTAAAATAAAATCTGAAGTACAAAATTTACAAAATTTACAGCAAGGAGTATATATACTCAGTCTACATATAAACCTAATGTCTTATCTTTTTTACAAATATGTTAATATTATTATTCTAAAGTGTTTGTTGCATTCTTTATTTTATTTAAAAAGAACAGGTTTCTGTGCTGGGTGACCTCAATGGCCCCCTGTCATGTACTCTTTCTTGAGGTTTCTTATTCTTGTTTCGGTATTGGAACTTATGGACTACTCTTCAGCTTTAATGGAAAGATAAAATCTAACACAAGCATTAACCACTAGTGCATACACTGTGACACTTCTAATACATCTAACAAAAACACTGACCACTAATATATACACTGTGACACTTCTAATACATCTAACAAAAACACTGACCACTAATGTATACACTTTAGATGTATTAGAAGTGTCACCAAAAACACTGACCACTAATGTATACATGATGACACTTCTAATACATTTAACACAAACACTGACCACTAGTGTATACATGACACTTCTAATATATCTAATACAAGCACTGACCACTAGTGTGTACATGATGACACTTCTAATATATATCTAACAAAAACACTGACCACTAGTGTATACATGATGACACTTCTAATACATCTAATGCAAAC